GACGATGCTGAGGAAGATCCTCAACGTGATGTAGCTGCTCACCGGCGCGAACGTCTCGTCATAGTCGGCGCCGTACACCTGTGTGAAGCCCTTCACGACCAGCCTCGCCTTCTCTCGCTCGACGGTGTCGTCGATGTGGTACTTCGTCGTCAACACCCACCGGTTCTTCATGACGTTCACCCCCGGCGGGCGTTCGACCAGCTCCCAAGTGCCCATGTTGATGAGGCTGCGAATCTCCTCCTCCATGGTGGCTTTCACCGCCGGGCCCTTCCAGCTCGCCAACGCCTCCTTCACCGTCATCGTCGAGATGTCCCAACGGTGCTCGGGGTCGGCTAGCATGTCAGGGTCGAGTTCCGGAAACTCCTCATCATCCTCGGCGTCATCGTACAGCAGGTCGTCGTCATCGTCCACGTCATACACCGTGGTGAAGGCAGCGGGGACGAAGAAGTCAGGCGGCCTTCGAAGTCGACCTGAACGCCGTGGTCCCTGCTGGACCTCCTCGGCATCCCCTCCATCATCGCTGTCATCGCTGCCCTCGGCGTCCTGCTGTTCCTCAACCGGCGTCCCAGCCGACTTCTCCCCTGTGGTCGGCTCCCCTGCCGACGACCCGGTCGCCGACAGCTCCGTAGTCAGCTTCACGGCTGCCTGCTCCTTTGTTGGCCGCTGCTCCTCGACCCGCTTCTCCCCTGTCGACGTCGACTGCAAACCCATGTCGACCTGCCGCTCGTCACGTCGGCCACCGGCGATGCACTTGGCTGGCGCCGAAGGCGACGTCCCGCTACTCCCCTCATCGCCGGAGGCCGACACCGAGGTCAGCCCACACATGTCGGCCACAAGGGGAGGGGCAGGGGTCGGAGGGGGAGGGGTAGGGGGGCGGACGTCCGCGACGGCCTCAGTAGCAAGCTCGCCAACCTCGGCAAGCAGCGGCAGTGTCGCCGACGAGGTGTCAGAGGGCGGGGTGGACGACGAGCGGCCGGACACCGGCCCGTGCTCCGACTTCCACTCGGCCAGCGACATCTCCTCATAGAACACCACGTCCGACGTGGTGACCACTCGGTTAGTGGCGACGTCAAGGAGCTCCCAGCCCTTGCTCGCCGCCGACACGCCAAGGTGCAGTCCCCACCTGGCCTTCGGCTTCAGCTTCCCACCACGCTGCTGCTCAGGGACAAGGAACTGCGCCATGCAGCCCCACACCCGCGCCAGCGACAAGTCGGGCTTCTTCCCGGTCAGCAGCTGGTACGGCGTCGTCCCCGGCGGCAGCGTCGACCGCTCAAGGCAGTTGCGGACCCAGACGGTGAACTGCTTCCCGAGGAACTCCCCTCCCCGGTCAGAGCGCAGCATCAACACCGACTTCTTTGTCTGCCGCTCAGCCACCGCCAGCCACTGCACGAACGCTTGCAACGCATCTGACTTCTTGGCGACCGGCTTCACCCACACGTAGCGGGTCTTGCGGTCCTTCAGCAGCAAGAAGTACAGGCTGCCATCCTTGGCAGTCACGCGGAACGGCCCGCACAGGTCGATGTGCACGACGGCCAGCACGTCGTCGGCGTCGGAGCCTTGGTCGGGGAAGGTGTGCCGCGCCAGTTTCCCGCCGACGCACGAGACACACGGGGAGTCGGCGTCCGTCGCCGACTTGAGGTCCAGCCCAATGGCGACCTCGTTCTTCGCCGAGCTCCGTATGGTGTCCATGCCAACATGTGCAAGCCGCGCATGTATCCGGTCTGGCGTCGACTTCGTCTTCGAGACAATCGCCCGCAGAGCCACAACCTTCTTCATGGGCGGCGTTGACCTCGTCGCGCAGGGACGCAGGTCGGTGCAGAGGACTCGCCCAGAGTACCTCGCCCGCCCGAGCACCTCCCCTGCTGCCGAGACGAGCAGCATGCCGTCTCCGTCCTCCTGCAGCTTCACGCCATGCTCCTTCAGCTGGCCGGCCGACAGCAGGTTGGCTCGCACACCCAGGACGTACAATACGTCGAGGATGAGCACCTCCTTCCCGGCCTCTCCTTGTAGAGCGACGGTGCCGCGGCCTTGGACATCCTGCAGCGCCCCATTGAAGCCGCGCACATGCCTGATGGCGCCGCTCGGCTGCAAGTCGACGAAGGCTTCCTTCGTCCCCATCAGGTGGTGGGAGCACCCGCTGTCGAGCAGGACCACCGCCGGGTTCGCCTGCACAGCTGCCGCCACCGCCTGGAAGTCCTCTCCGGCCTCCGGTGCCAGAGAGATGGTCGGCTCCACGACGCCGACCAGCGAGCACGACGCCGTCTTGTCGTCTCGCCCCTTGCCGCCAGCAGGGGAGTCGGCATTCTTCGCGGAAGTCGATGTCTTGGTCGACTGCTTCTCCTTGCGTGGCTGGTTTCCTCCACGACAAGGACGACGGCTGCCAGACCTCCCGCGGCCGCCCTTGTCGTCGACGTCGGAGTCACTGCGGTCGGGACACTCGAAGGAGAGGTGATCGGGGCTGTGGCAGATCCAGCACTCCCGACGTCGACCTCCTCCTCCTCGACCGCCGTCCTTGGTCGACTTCTTCTCGACCTCCTTGGTCGACTTCCAGCCACCGCTCCCGCCGCCACCAGACTGTCCGCGCTGTCCTGGTCGGCCTCCTTGCTTCGCCGGTGCGACGAAGTTGGCCTGCGCCAAGAGCTCCTGCGATCGCTCAGCCTCCTGCATCGCCTCATCCTGCAGGATGTACGAGGTCAGGTTATCCTCGTTGAGTGTCGCCCTCGTGCTCGGCGCCATAGACAGCCGCTTCAGGAGATTATAGCTGCTAGACAGTCCCTGCATGACATGGGTGATGTACGACGCCGTAGAGTACTGCGCGCCGGCCATCCTGATAGTGGCGAGAATTCGCCTGGCTCGGTTGCAGTAGTCGGTCGCACTCTCCTCGTCGCCCATACGCAGGTGTGTCAGCTGTCCCTCCAGCTGGGCGATGAACAGGTCGTCGGTGACCTGGTACGTCGACTCAATGAAGTGCCACGCCCGGTGGCTGGCGTCGAGGTACTCCCGGCACCACTTCAAGGCGATCTGCACGCCCGGCGAGCAGCACCGCGAGATGACCGTGAAGGTCAACAGCTGCACGGCGCGAGACTCCGCCCGCAAGTCGGGGTGGTGCTCCCCCGGCGTCGCCACGGTCCCTCGGGCGAAGCCGATCAGCTCGGCCATCTCCAACTGGGGCTCGATAGCTTCCTTCCAGGTGAGTATGTCGGGTCGACCGACCAGTGGGGGGGTGACTGAGATCCTGTCCGGCGTGAACTTGAAGTAGCCGTAGCTCGGCGCAATCCCACCTGCCGTCACCTGGGACGCTGACATCGGCGACAGCCCACTCCGTCGACCTCCGACGTCACCCCGCGAAGAGCCTGCAGCCGCCGACGACTGCATCCCTCGCGCCTGAACGCCGCCAACTTCACCGGCGTGTATCACACCTCTCTGCCTCGACGTGCCTCCAGCACTACTGCCGACTTGACCACCACCGGCGTTGACGCCCACGTCGACGCCGCCTTCGTTGTTCACCGGACGAGGAGAGGCAGGTCGAGACGGGTGCTCCGTCGCCCACATGGAGCGGAGTCCAGCCTCGACGACCGGCCAGGGCAAGTCGCCGTACTCGTTGGCCTCGTGCTTCCTCCTCGCGTTCTCCAACCGTGCCTCTAGGGTGTCCACCACCCCCGCGTCACCTACGGCTCCTACCATAGTGACTACCGCACAGTTGCCGGCCTGCAACTACGAAATAGGTAAGTGGTGTCTACGTCGACCTGACGGAAAGGTAAGTCGTGTGCCGTCCACGTTCACCGCACCATGCGGAGATAACTGCTACAACGGGAGCTAGACTGCAGGCTAGGCACGTTTGCTCGTGTGATCTCTGCGTTCTCTGTTCCTTAATCGTTTTCCTTGTGCGCACACTACTTGCTAGTTCACGGGGAAAGTTGGCAAGAGTTCCACTAGGAAAAGTTCAGAACAATGGTACAATGAAGTTGGCATAGCAAGACTACATGAGAGCAAGCATTCAGGTCGGCCAACTGCCAGCAGCTTGGTCGACCGCGTTCTAGCACGACTTGGTCGACCGCGCTCCAGCAAGGCAAGGTCGACGGCATGCCAACGTTGCAGGTTGACGGCGTGACAGCGTTGCTCTCGCAGGACAGCAGTGCACCCTGCTTCGCAGTTGTGTGCAGATGATTGGCGTGCAGAGTCTCGTCACCTACACAGCGCACAACACCATGTCAACCTCGAGCTGACGACTGCCTTTGATCGGCCACGTCGACCTCGGGATACCACCACCGAGGTCGGGCTCGCCAACTTCGCCTGGGCGACCGTCGCACTCCTCCGCAGCACTTCGTCACCCAGGTAACCTGGTCGACCGGGCAACCGCGTCGACCAGCAGCTCCCGTTCGTGCCCGTCGACCTCCCAAGTCGACGACCACCTCCACGTCGACATCACCAGGTCGACGACACCATCGGTCGACCTCCTCCAGGTCGACGTCCCCTCTGGTCGACCAGCTCCACGTCGACCAGCACAGTCGTCGGCCGACCACCCACGTCGGCCGCCCGAAGCGCGTCACGAAGTTGACGCCCCGCTACTCGACGCCCAACTGCTCGGCGTCCTGAGTCAAGGTCGACGTCGGTTCCACCTTCGTCAACCACCAGGTCCAGTCGACCACCCGCAGGTCGACCAGCGGTCCGTTAGCCGACCGCCGAAGTCGGCTTCGACGTCCTCCGCAGGTCGACTCCCAAGCCGACCTCCCCGAAGTCGGCGCCACCCTGAAGTTGGCACCCGTGCAGTGGTCCCCCGTGCAGGTCGACCTCCTAGTCGACCAGCTCACCCACTGCTGCAGGTTGGCTGCTCCCCTCACACCCGACCACGAAGTCGGCTCCGCCCAAGCGAGGACGGGGCCAACACCCAACTCCCGTTGACACCCTCCCCGCGCGTTCCTCTTCGGCGCTCCCCGCCCATTCCTCGCCGCGTCTTCCGCCTCGTCCTCCCCTCCCCGTGGCCCATTCCTCTCCGCCCTATGGGACCGCCTGAGGTCGTACATTTCGCTCGCCGGATGAACCAGCACCTGCCTCTCACTCGGTTCAACCCCGAGCAAGCTCACCAGCAGCACGAGCAAGCTCACCAGCAGCAGCACCGCCACGACCACGACTATCAACAAGATCCTCTTGAATCTCTTCCCTCTCATGCCTCTCTTCCCTCTGTTCCCTCTCTTCCTTCTCTTCCCTCTCTTCCCTCTCATGCCTCTCTTCCCTCTCATCCCGAGTCGCGCCACGTCCTGACCCGCCTACTATCAACCCCCACTCTCCCGAGCAACGCGCTCCTGCTGTTCCTCTCGCTGCTCCTCCTCATCCCCCTCCTCTGCATCCCCCTCCTCGCTCCCTCCTCTCCGCTGTCCCCACCCGCTGCTGCGGCTCAGCCGGCGGCAGAGGGGTCTGGGGCGCAGGCGTGGGGGTTGAAGGGGGATGATGGGGCGCAGGCGTGGGGCGGGAAGGGGGATGATGGGGCGAGTAGTGGGGAGAACGGAGAGTTGGCAGCAGCAGATGGATCAGAGTATTCAACCCATTTCTTGTGTTCTGAGTCAAGGTGCGCACGCATTTTTCTGAGGCTTACTTGAACGCTTTCCACTCATTTCGTATGGCCCGAGTGACCGAGTCACGGAATGTATGTAGGTTTTGTCTAGTTTGATGGCGCCTCAAAGCCATTTTTCTGAGGGTGATTTGAACGTTCTCCACTCATTTTGTATGGCCCGAGTCGAGGCATGTATGAAGGTCTTGCTTCTCCACGCCCCTCTCTTACCCATCCCAAAAAATCTGGAGGCCGGGGAGATGAGCTCATCCCTCCTCCTCTCAAAGTGAGGAGGGATACCCTAATGTCTCCAAGGCTGTTGTCGCTCAAAGGGTAACCCCGAACTTCGCCTTCCCACCAAAAGCCGTGCAGGTTTGCTTTGATGACCGGCGACAACAGTTAAGTGGTATTGCACTGCCGCACTCTGTTGGCGTTTCGGGAACATGATGCTATCCAGTCAGGTTGGTGCACTGTCCGTTGAACTTGAAACCCGCGGGATGGGATCACCCCCAGCGGGATTAACTACCCCCTCAGCTTCAGAGGGAGGTTTGGTTCAGCTGGGGTTTCAATTTAACTGGTTTGGTGTCGAACCTATTTACGAAACAAGATTCTGCATACAGGATATCCATCACCAATTTTGTATGAAAGCAGATACCGTTTTCAACATCCCTCTCCTGTCCTGTTTTCTCTCCCTCACTCTCTCTCTCGCGTTCTACGTCTCTTGCCCTCCTCATTTTGCGGTCAAACATGGCAGGAGTCTTCAGGAATCAGGAGGTTCTCACAGACCTGGCCTCGTCAGCAAGAATGCCTCCAATGACAAGCAAGCAGCCAGCGTCCGACGTGGCACCACAAGGTTCGCGCGCAGCAAAAACCGCTGCTGACGCACAGAGCGCTGGCACAAACAGCAGCACAGACAACGACCCTGTTGGCAGCAGCACCGACAGCAACACTGGAAACAGCATCCGGGGCAAGAGTGGTAGTGATGGCGATGCTGGGAGGAGCAGCATAGGCGGTGGTACCATGGGTAACACTAGTAGGAGTGAAACGGTGAGTGTCGAGGGCAGTGACAGTGGCAGCAACAGTGAAAGGGTGGGTGAGGAGGAGGAGGAGGCAAGTGCGGTAGCTGAGCAGGGGGGGTCCGTTCGTGGCCTGGTGATTGCGACAGTTCTGTCAGAGGCATGGATACCCATGATGAAGATGTTCTTATCGAGGATGAGACTGGTTGATGCAAGAGACGAGCAGGAGAAGCATAGACAGCAGCAGCAGCAGCAGCAGGCACAGGAGCAGCAGGCACAGGAGCAGCAGGCACAGGAGCAGCAGGCACAGGAGCAGCAGGCACAGGAGCAGCAGGCACAGAGGCAGCAGGCACAGGAGCAGCAGGCACAGCAGCAGCAGGCACAGCAGCAGCAGGCACAGGAGCAGCAGGCACAGGAGCAGCAGGCACAGGAGCAGCAGGCACAGGAGCAGCAGGCACAGGAGCAGCAGGCACAGGAGCAGCAGGCACAGGAGCAGCAGGCACAGGAGCAGCAAGCACAGGAGCAGCAGGCACAGGAGCAGCAGGCACAGGAGCAGCAGGCACAGCAGGAGGGATACTTGGGAGGTGCAGCTGTTGAGTCCACACAGGCAGATGCTAATATTCCGAGCTTGGGGCCCATGCCTCTGATGCAACGCACGGGGGCATCAGGCACGCTGGTGTCTCTTGAGACGTCTCAAAAGACCCCACGCACGCTGGTGTCTCTTGAGACGTCTCAAAAGACCCCACGCACGCTGGTGTCTCAAAAGACCCCACGCACGCTGGTGTCTCAAAAGACCCCACGCACGCTGGTGTCTCAAAAGACCCCATGCACGCTGGTGTCTCAAAAGACCCCACGCACGCTGGTGTCTCAAAAGACCCCATGCACGCTGGTGTATCAAAAGACCCCACGCACGCTGGTGTCTCAAAAGACCCCACGCACGCTGGTGTCTCAAAAGACCCCACGCACGCTGGTGTCTCAAAAGACCCCCGGATCTGTGCTAAAGGCGACCTTGCCTAGTGCTGCCCTTCTTCATGAGCACAGATCCGTGGGACTTTCAAAAGACCCCACGCACGCTGGTATCTCAAAAGACCCCACGCACGCTGGTGTCTCGCCTGCTCGTGGTCTGCTACCGCCACAGCCTCGAGTTCTGGTGCTCGCTCCGCCTGCACTACTTCCTTGACTCACAGGTGTGCCTCTCCGCACTGATGAATTCACACACAGGTGCGCCCGCCCGCACTGCTTCCTTTGTTGGCAGACAGGTGCGGCTGCTGGGCTAGAGACCAGTTAGACTGGCAGCAGCACCGTAGGCATCATGGGTGGATAGCATGACCTTTGAGATGTCTCAAAACTTGCCCGCACTGCTTCCTTGGGAGACAGGTGCAACTCCTGGGCTAGAGACCAGTTGGACTGGCAGCAGCACCGTAGGCATCAACGGGTAGAAGTGTTATTTTGAGGCGTCTCAAAATAACACGTTTATCGATGGGCAAGAGACCAATTGGACTGGCAGCAGCGCAGGCATCAAGGGTGCAGGGCATGTGAAGGGACGGAGCATGTGTGCCATTTTGGGGAATTCTCAAAAGGGAGGGGGCACTGTATGTATATTAGGGAACCAACGTCGCTCTCACATCATAAGCTGTCTGTTCGAGGAATGTTCTTGATTCCAATCCCCCTTCCCCACCCTCCCCCCCCCCCCCCCCCCCCCACACACACAACCTACATCCCCCTCCTATTTGCACCTGGTTAAAAAAACTCCTCGGCCCTTTCCGTCTTTTTTTTGGCGGGCAGGAGGATGCACCAGAGGGCGAGAGGGACGACTTCAGTGGCGACCAGAAGAAGTTCATGACTCCGGCCTTCGTGCACCTGGTATTTTTGCCCCTGGTATTTTTGCCTTTCTGGGTGGGCCGTATGCTAAGAGATCCGAATGGATGTCGATGCTGTTTTTTCCCTTTTCGTCGATGCTGTTGTTCCCCTTTTTTTCCCTGCTGCTTTTCCCCTTTTCGTCCCTGCTTGTTTTTCCCTTTTTGTCTCTTGTGGGTTATTCCATCATCTCTATCCACTCCCCCGCTGTTGCTCTAGATTCTATCTTCATCCTTCCTTATCTCCTCTCACCTCTCCCCATCTCCTCATCTCTCCTCATCTCTCCTCACCTCTCCTCATCTCCTCATCTCTCCTCATCTCTCCTCACCTCTCCTCATCTCCTCACCATCTCCTCATCTCTCCTCATCTCTCCACATCTCTCCTCATCTCTCCTCATCTCTCCCCATCTCCTCATCTCTCCCCATCTCCTCATCTCTCCTCATCTCTCCTCATCTCTCCTCATCTCTCCTCATCTCTCCTCATCTCTCCTCATCTCTCCTCATCTTTCCTTATCTCTCCTCTATGTCGCCTCATTTCTCGTATTTGCTTTGGTCCTCTCCTCTCTGCTCAGGTCTGGAGGCGGCTGCATATCGTCAGGGGAATCATATCTTTAGGATTTGATGTGATCTTCACAGACAATGACGTCATGTGGCTACAGGTGTGTGGCAGTGACGTCTTGTGGCTGTAGGTGTGTGGCAGTGACGTCATGTGGTTGCATTCAGGCATGCAGCAACGCCATGTTGCTAAGTGACGACTTTTGAGACGCCTCAAAAGTCATCCAACAACGCCATTGTGCTATGTGCAATGTGACTCGTTTTGAGACACCTTTCGGAATCATTCTCTTGAAGAAAACGGGGAAAAACAACTGTACACAAGTTGTTGTAACAACCTTCTTATTTTGCTGTCTCCAACCACTTCATCCGCTGACTCTCTTCACAGATCCCTCTTCTTTTCCCTCCTTCATTCTCTCCCCCCCACACCCCCCCCTCCCCTCCCCCCTCACCTTCTTTTCCTCTATACAAGAGCCCCCTTCCCCACCTACTCCCCATATCATTCGACATCGCGACAGCCTGTGATGCGATCACTGGTCGGCGGACGTCAAGGCGGAAGCAGATGTGTCCTGCAGCGACTTTTGAGAATTCTCAAAGGTGTCCTCTAACCCAACCTAATCATCTCCCTTCTTTCCTTTCCTCCCCTTCACCAGAACCCCCTTCCCTACCTGCTCCCGATCTCATCCGACTTTGTGACAGCGTGTGATCATTGGTCGGCAGACGTCAAGGAGGCGGCAGCCAATACGGGGTTCTACATGGCTCGCAGCAACGACCGAGTGTTGCAATTCTTCGACTACTGGATCAATTCACACACCCGGTAAGCTGATCTTTGAGTTGACTCAACACCAGCAGCAGCCAATACGGGGTTCTACATGGCTCGCAGCAACGACCGAGTGCTTCAGTTCTTTGACTACTGGATCAATTCACACACCCGGTAAGCTGATCTTTAAGCTGACTCAATACCAGCGGCAGCTAATAAGGGGTTCTACATGGCTCGGAGTAACGACCGTGTGCTGCGATTCTTCGACTACTGGATCGCTTCCCACACCCGGTAAGCCTCTCTTCCCCTCTTCTTTTCCCACACCCGGTAAGCCTCTCTTCCCCTCGTCGTTTCCCATAACCGGTAAGCCTCTCTTCCCCTCTTCTTTTCCCACACCCGGTATGCCTCTCTTCCCCTCTTCTTTTCCCACATTCGGTAAGCCTCTCTTCCCTTCTTCTTTTCCCACACCCGGTAAGCCTCTCTTCCCTTCTTCTTTTCCCACACCCGGTAAGCCTCTCTTTCCCTCTTCTTTTCCCACACCCGGTAAGCCTCTCCTCGAGCTCCCACTCTTTCACACCGCACGGTAGAGGCATACAGCCTCGTCCGTCGCGCTCTTCGCATCACTCCCTCCGTTCTCTTTCAACATGCGATCCCTCTTCTTCCCAATCGAGTCACTCTCTGCACCGCTTACTGCACCGCTCACTGCACGACTGCGTCATCTGCTTTTTCTTTCTGCTCGCACTGAACATTGTTTTCCTCCATGTTGCCAAAGCCATTTTTTACATCCTTGGGGGCTTTAGCACATATCAATCAAGATTGGCTGACGGTGTTGTTTTCTCCCAATTTGCAAGATGAGCCGTGCACCGAATTTGGTTGGTGGCAAATCTGTGCTTGCAGTAGCGGCACTGCGCTATCCTTCCTTTATTAAGGCCCTAGGCATAGAAGCTATTCTTGTACACAAAGAATAACTTATTCTTCTATTTGGGTTTTTTTTTTTTGGGTTGCGGAGCAACCTATTGCAATCGATCGGAGCTGGTTTTTTTTTTCAAGAATTAATCATTCTTGAAAAATCAAACCAAACTACCGTAACAAAAACTTGTCACACTGCTTACCTATATTTGTGAGAAAATAAAATGACAGAATAAAGTAATTGCATTTCATTCTTTTGTTGTACCTTACTATCCGAAGGGGCATACTCTGATGTTTTTGGGTTGCTAAGCAACCTATTGCAATCGACCAAAAGCAAAAAAAAAAATCACGAAAATTGTTTAGGGAAATTTTTCATCTGCAAAAAAAAATGTAAAATAACTCGAAAAAGTTTGTTTAGGGTACTTGTTACGGGTGCAATGAATCGAAGTAGCGAGAATTGCACTAAGGTGTCAAACGAGTACAAAATGTGAGCGAAGGCATGAGCGAACATTTATACGCGAAACATGCAAAACGGTAACGCGGTGCGTGCGAGCTGGCTAGTGCTACGCTGGAGCGAGGCTCGGGCTAGTCCCAAAGCGTAGGCCGATGCGGCCATGCCAGCAGTGCGTGGTTTGGCAAAACAGTGCGCACGAAGTCGGCGAAGTTCCGTTAGCAGTAACGGGCGAACAATCGGCTGTTGCTATACGCGATGTAGTCGGCTCCGTAAGGAATGCCGAGAAAATTCCTTACACTACCCCCCCCCTCAAGAAGCCCCCTCCGCTACGCGAGTGCGTGTATATCGCGGAATCCCCGGCTCCTCAGGTACACTTGCAGGGCAGGGTGATTTTCGATGTTGCTCAGGGGCACCCAGCTATCTTCAGTTGGCGTGCGGTCTTTCCAGCGAACGAGGAATTCAATCCTCCTGATTCCCGTGGGGTGGCGGATCCGATGGCTCAGAATTTTTTCGGGCTCGATGATCGGCTCTGATGTAGGGCGAGTCATTGATTGTGGCCGGTGACGCGGCAGTTGACTTGTGGTCGGGATGTATGGGCGAAGTAGGCTGACGTGGAACGAAGGGCTGATGTACCAGTCGGTTGGCAACAGTAGGTGCGCGGTGACGGGTGTGATCATATGACTGATTTGGAAAGGTCCACAGTAGCGCGGTCGTAATTTTGGTACGTCGGGCAGTCGCAGATTTTGCGTGTCGAGTAGCACGTAATCTCCAGATTGATACGTGACGGGGCGGCGGTGGCGATCAGCGTTGCGCTTAGCGATGACGTTGGCCTTTTTTATTGCTTCGGCGGCTCTGGCGCGGGCAGCGTGCAGGATTTCGGCGAACTGTTGTGCACGTGGCGTTGGGTTGTCCGGACTCGGCGTCATGGGCACTGTGGGGTTTTGCCCATAGTTCAGGTAGAACGGGGACTGCTGCGTCGTGGCTGATGTGGCGTTGTTGTACGCGAACTCGATCAGCGGCAACTGCTGCTCCCAGGTCGTGGGGTCGTCGCACGTGGCACGAATCAACTGCTCCATCGTCTGATTCGTCCGCTCCGTTTGGCCGTCGGTCTCGGGGTGGTACGACGAACTGAACTGTAGCCTGGTCCCGAACTGCTCCCAGAGGTTCTTCCAGAAGTTGCTGGTAAATTTTGTGTCCCTGTCGCTGATAATTGCTGCTGGTATCCCGTGCAGGCGAACAACGGCTGCGATGAACAGGCGAGCGGTCTCCTCGGCTGAGATCGACTTTTTGCACGCAGCGAAGTGTGCCATCTTCGTCAGCCTATCCATGACGACCATCACCGCGTCGTTACCCCCAGGGTTCGAAGGTAACCCTGTGACGAAGTCCATGGTTACTTGCTGCCAGGCGCGTTCGGGCGGTGGGATCGGCTGCAGTTGACCCGCCTTCCGCTTCCTTGAACTCTTCATCACCTGACACGTCGGGCACGAGCCCACGTGCTGCTGTACGTCAGTCAACAGCTCCGGCCAGTAATAGTACCGCTGCAGTTGCTGTCGCGTTTTTTCTACCCCGAAATGTCCCGAGGTAATCCCGTCGTGTGCCTCCTGTAGTAGCAGCTCCCGCAGTAGTGAGTACGCGGGTACCCAAATGCGGTTGGTGCCTGTTTTTACGTAATAGACTCCTTTTGCTTCTGCCAGTTGCTGTGAATTTCCGGTCGTGAAAAATGGGTCGGTGCGGTATCCGTGGGTG